ATTAAGAGACATCACCACTGAGTAAGGACACACTGATAAGATCAGTGTGTGAGAAGAAGTGGTTAGGTCCTCTTTCACCCAATTTGTTCTTATAAACAGTTTACTATTGTCAAAGTAAACAGGTTTTAAGATAAGTTTTCTGTCAAAAGCAGAGTGAGTAGTCTTGGGGTGCAACTGTTTTTTAAGGCAATTTAAGCTACTTTTTCTGCAAGATACTGTGTTTTAGTGGCAGAAGAAAAGTTGGCCATCCACTTGCACAGAAAGAGTAGAGCCCAGCCTCCTAGGTGCTCATATTTGGCATTAATTTCTCTGTGCAAATGCAGTGGCCATTCTCACACTATTTCCTGGCTACCCTGCACAATCATTTCATTTTTTTTTAAATCAAATAGTTTCCAGTAAGTAGTGCAATATCAATGTATTGACATTAATGTATACACTAAAGATGTGTTTTGTGTTATATGAGCAGTATAGCTGTAGAGCTGCAAGCTCTGGAAGACTTCCCACTAAGAACAATTTCCCAAATCTGAAGCTTCAGAAACTGAGCAGAAAGATAATACAGTGTTAAAGTAGTGCATTTTAAAGGGAGTTGGGCACCTTAAAATTGAAATTAGCTAGAAAAAATGAATTGCTGAAGTCTGGGTAAAACTGAATGGATTATTTCTTCAATGTTTAAGAAGCTACAGGAAAATTCAGCAAAAGCAGCTTGTGATACACCTGTGAGGAAGAATCAGGTAAAAGTTCCACAGTGGTAACACATGTAGACTACATTTTATATCCTCTTAAGAAAAGTGGCTTTCTTCATAAATTGTGTCTTAAACACTGAGCAAATTCTGATATATGTAGGGAGAGAATATAAGGTGTGACACCAATAGAAATCTGATTTTTAAATGAGCTCCAAGCTTCTACTGTTAGGAAGTTTTAAATAAAGATGCATCTTAATTTCTTGAGGTTATTACAGAGCTAATACTACCCAAACAGTGTCAAAATACAGCTCATTTAAACTAGCAGATTATACTTTAAGGGTGTATTCAAGAAAAGTCATTCAAGTAATGCCCACCCAGTTAGTGATGTGTGGCACCACACAAACTCAGAGAGACTGTTCTGGACCTGAGCTGGCTCAAACGGAGCTAGGTTAGATGTCTCTGCACGAGTTTCAGTTAACACACAACCTGAAAATCCACTTTTGGATAATCAAAAGTTGATTGTATCTATCATATACTCAGGGTGGGAGGGGAGCAATGTTTCACATTCTGACCAGTCTAGCAACAACAGGCAAAATTCAGGAGCTCAGAGGATAGCTGAGATTGGAAGTAACTTCTCACAGTTGTCTAGTCCACCATCCTGCTGATGGCAGGGTGAGCTAGAGCAGGTTGTCCAGGACCTTCCCCAGTCAGATTCTGAATTATCGAAGGATTAATATTTCCACAGTCTCTCTGGGCAACCTGTTCCAATGTTTGATCAGTCTTACCATAATTTTTTTTCCTAAGTTTCAGTGGAGTTTCCAGTACTTCCGTTTGCAGCCATTGCCTGTTGTCCTTTCACTAGACTTCTTACTAATGAGAAGTGTCTGGCTCCCATAACACACTACGTGGTTCCCGTACTCTACCCTTGTAGTAGAAAGGCTTTTTGCTATTGTCCTCCAAAGACACATTTTGTGTCCATTGAGCCTTCTTATGTATTTTGCTACAAAAGATGGAAGTTTGGCTCTGTCATCTCTCTAATTGTTTCTACTGCTATTAGATCACCCTTTAGGCTTCTCTTTGCCGGGAAGAAACAAGCCCAGCTCTTTCAGTGTCTCCTCAGAGGTGATGTGCTCTCTGCACTCCCAACCAGCTTGGTAGCCTCTCTAGTCTCACTGCAGCTTCTCCCTCTTGAACTGGATCCAAAACTAGACTCTGTACCCAGGTGTGGCCTCCCAAGCACTAAATAAAGGGTAGTTATAATTTCCCTTGATCAACTAGCCATGCTTCCCTTAATGTAGTCCAACACGCAGTCTGCCTTACTCAATCATCTGTTGCTCAGTCCAATCCTGTCCTTGTTCTAAAACATAAATATCTAACTATTGTTTGAAATTAATAAGTGTAATGTCATAATTAACCTACGATACTCTTGAAGATATACCCCAGAGTCCACTGTTTCATGATGCATTTGCAAAACTGTTGAGCACAATAAATTAATATCACAGAAAATACAAAAATAGTTCAGTGAAACTGAGCATTACTAAACCAATCTGGGACTTGGTGCACCTTCAGAGTTTGCACTGACTTATTCTTCTGATCTGTGTGATGGGTCAGAGCAGATTTCTACTGCAAGAATGGAGCCCATCTGCAAATCAAAGATCAATCTTTCTTAGTCAAAGACGTTAGTCAGCAGCACAAATTCCGGAATCAGTGTGTGGTATATGCAGAATCTGTTTATATCCAGAAAAGTACTTCAAAGCCAGAGCATGCCTTTTATCGACATGCACCTCCACCCATCCGTTCAAAAACTCTCACTCAAAACCCAAATCTTCCATCCTGGCATAGATGAGAGATTTCGGCTGAAGGCCCAGCAGTCCTTGCAGTCTGTGTAAACCAGGCTTGGGTGGACTCTGAAATGGGATACAGCTTCTCTCTTTTCATTGTACAGGCAATGGTTTAACAATAAGCAGTGAAAGAGAAGGAAAACTGAGAGAATTGTATTTAAGCTGACTGTTAGGAACTCAGAAGCATAGAATCACAGAATGGTTTAGGTTGGAAAGGACCTTAAGATCATCTAGTTCCAACCTCCCCACAATGGGCAAAGATGCTTCACCTTAGACCATGTCACCCAAGGCTCTTTTCAACCTGACCTTGACACAGCCAGGCATTAGCATTTACTTCTTTGGGCAACCTGTTCCAGTGCTTCACCACTCTCACAGTAAGGAACTTCTTCCTTATATCTAACCTAAACTTTCCCTGTTTAAGTTCGAACCCATTTCCCCTTGTCCTGTCACTACAGTCCCTAATGAAGAGCTCCTCCCCAGCATCCTTGTAGGCCCCCTTCAGGTACTGGAAGGCTTCTCTGAGGTCTCCACACAGCCTTCTCTTCTCCAGGCTGAACAGCCCCAACTTTCTCAGCCTGTCTTCATACAGGAGGTGCTCCAGTCCCCTGATCATCCTTGTGACCCTCTTCTGGGCTTGTTCCAACAGTTCCATGTTCTTTTTTATGTTGAGGACACCAGAACGGCACACAATGCTCCAAGTGAGGTCTCACAAGAGCAGAGTAGAGGGGCAGGATCACCTCCTTCGACCTGCTGGTCATGCTCCTTTTGATGCAGCCCAGGATACGGTTGATTTCTGGGCTGCGAGCACACACTGAAGATGGCTCATGTTAAGTTTCTCATTGACCAACACCCTCGAGTCCTTCTCTGCAGGGCTGCTCTGAATCTCTTCTCTGCCCAACCTGTAGCTGTGCCTGGGATTGCCCTGACCCAGGTGTAGGACTTTGCTCTTGTCATGGTTAAACCTCATGAGGTTGGCATCAGCCCACCTCACAAGCTTGTTGAGGTCCCTCTGGATGGCATTCCTTCCCTCCAGGGTATCAACTGAACCACACAGCTTGGTGTCATTGGCAAACTTGCTGAGAGAGCACTCAATCCCACAACGAAGAAGAAATAATACTTCAAGAAAGGGTAGTGGTTAGGGAATGAAAAAACAAACATTACCTTTTTAGAATATTGAAGAAGGAGTAAACTGAGAAAATGACTTGTTATTTAAACTATATCCTCTGCAAGGCATTTAACAGTTTCCAATCCCAGTAGCTTCAGTGGGAGAGGCTGCACTTTGTAAAATGCTCTCCACTTCTTTAGGAAAACCATGAGCTTTCTGAAACACTTAGCTCATGCTAAGTGATCATATCCCAGGTATTGTGATGATGACTGATCTTGCTGCCTGAATGGAAATACACAATAAGGAAGACTGGAAATAAGTAGGTGTTTAAAAGTACTTGTGCTTTTAAGGACATAGTAGTCAAAGTGCCTGATGTCTTGAGCTGTGGCACTGTTTTAGAAAACATTGCTACACCTATCCCCTTAACTGCCATCATGGCCATTGAACCAGGACCTTCAGTAACATCTTCAATACTAGAGTGTGCTTCCAATGAAGCAGCACAGACAAGAACCTGAAGCTCGTATCTGTCAGGGGATTAGTCAGGAAGCAGCAAGAACAGGATTGCCCCATGAAGGAGGGTAAGTTAGCAGCCAAGGGTGATCCCAGCACAGGCTGTGCCCTCATCAACAAGGCACCATGCCATGGGGGCTGAGCATAGCAGGCAGAGCCAAGGGCTATAGCAAGGGCCATCAGCACCCCAACACAAGGGATTAACCAGGGCCAGGGCCTACCCACCAGCTCCAGTTAGGAGCAAAAGGAGATAATCTGTGACATGACTGAAAGGTCCAACCAAGATACAAGCTAACTAGAGAGTAGGTCCAGGGTACATTGGGGAAGCAGAGCTGCAGACAGGCACACCTACAACATAGCTCAAGACAAGCCATTAAAGCCTATCAGTTACTTCACATGGCCTTAATCCAGTATGAGGCATTACACTGTACTATAGAAAAATGTCATGTCAGAGAGCAAGAGCAAGCTGGAAGGGCAGCAGCCCAACCAGGAAGCACAAGCCATCAACCTGGCTCTCCTTGTTCATAAGGACTAAGCACATGTGCCCAGAGAGGCCAAATCCCACTTGTGAGAAATCATTAAACCTTGTACTAAGACCAGCTGATATTAGTAAGGCCTCACAATCCTTGTTGTCAACAGCTCGTTCTCATAATTCATGGATGCCTCCAATTATCTGTGGGAGATTTGCAAGCCGGATTCTCAGCCTGCGAAGGAGGTTCCACATGGGCAGGCACTTAATGAACAGATTGGATTATAAACACTAGTTAATCTTTCCCACATGTACACCTGAAGAATATCACAAGTGACAGCTGTTTAAATTTCCAAGGAAATTAATGATTCCTAAAGAGGCAAGGCTTATCAAAGCTTTCACTGGGCCTGATAACAGACAACCACCAAGGGGCAAATTGTTTATAATAGTCTATAAGTACCTCATTCTATGGGTTCATCATGGAAACTTTTATTGACATGGTCCCTTTTATTAATGTTTGTGCTGGCAAAGACTGGAACAGCTTTGTTCAATCTGATGATATTAGGCTACTAAGGCCTCTAATGAGCATCTCATATCTTCAGGTCACAGTCAGTTTAAATGATTGGTATTAGGGCCAGGATACCATGTGCTCATCTGAACCCTATGAGATGGCTACATTATGCCTGCCCCATACAGAGCTGACATCCTCACAGGGCCCATCTCTGAGACTGCTAAAACATTAACTTGCATGTGGTGGGTCATTTGCTGCATTTGCTGTCTTGAGATTCAGGGGTGGGATCAAGGTGATGGGAAGAGGGCAAGCCTAGTTTACCGTGAGACTATAACCAACCTTTTCCAATAGACCACATTATGGAGAAAGAAATGCTTTCCTCTGTCCCCTTTTACAGAAAGCATGTACCTTTATATTAGGATGCAAAACCTCAGTCAGTCACCCTGCTATTCCTTCTTTCCCACAGAGCATGTGGCAGGACAAGTTCTCATTTCCAAGGGGACTTTTCAGACCCTGGTTCTACTCAAAAGAAGGCATCATGAAAAAAGGGCATTCACACTGGCCTGTGAAAGTGGCAAGAGGGAAAAATCTTTGTTAAACTCAGGGGTCAACAAAAAGGAATTAGCCACAACAAGTCATTCTCCTGAAGCTACAAGTAATGGAATTCCCTTGAAGAGCTGGGTAGCTTGGGATTATTTTGAAGTTCAAACTTCTCTTCCTGGTCAATGAGTGTTTCACAAAGGAGCATGGAATTAATTTAAATTCAAGGCTACAGACAAAACAGATGGCTCACAAATAGCTTATGAATGTTTTCTTGTATAAGAATAACTCTGTGATCCACCGCTGAGTTCACTGGTGAAGTGTCTGGCCACAGCAAGGGACCTGTTCCTCCTGCCACACTGGTGTAAACCAGAATTAATTCAGTTGAAACAAATAGAAAGATGAAGTCAGGCTAAAGCAAATCAAACTGGGAGTAGTCTTACTTGTGTTTTGTAAGCCCATGTTAATCTTACTGTCTGACCCACTGCACTCAATTAAGCAAATTTTGGAGGTATGTCATATATTCTGCAAATCAGGTTTTCTCAGTTTAAGTTCATACAATTACACTGATTCTGCTTGGTGAATATCTGGCCTAGTATTTATGACTTTAATTTCTCTGTCATTCGCCATCAAAATTACTTGAGGGCTTCACTTAAAGAATATTGAAGCCTCCAATGACTGGATAAATGTATGGGTTATTTCTTATGCTTTCTCTGACTAGCACAGCATTTTTCCTGGGAATAAATATGAAAGAGAAGTAAATCACTGGCCTTATGATTTTATTAATAAATAATGGAGATTGTAAAATACAGCTTTCAGGCAAAAGATGATCTGTGTCCTCCCGGTACACGTGCATACACACACATACATCATTTCCTCCATTTTATTTTAGGATCTTGCATGACTGGGCTTTTTCTTCACATGCTCTATTAGATATATAATAGAATGCTCTATTATAACCATAAGAGTGTGGTACTATATTAGGATAAGAACTCAACTTGTAGGATATTTGAAATCTTTGTGAGTTACAATTTAAGTGTGTTGTGTTTTTTTTTGTGAGGTGAAACTAAGAACAGCTAGCTTAAGCAGGAGATGTTGCTAGCAGGTAATAGAACTGCCTTGGTCAGGCTGACTGTTTAGTAACTTTCTGATGGATTTGTAACAAAATAAAATTCTTGAACAGCATAGGCTGTTCACTTGTCTGGTTTGTTTGAAGTTTTTTATTTTCTTAAGGGTATTTTTGCATCAGTACATGGGTCCCTCAGTGGATAATACAGCACTTTTAAATCAACTTTTAATGCCTCTTAAGTGACAAAGCAAAATCAAACAGTATGTTCTTTTGTCTGTATAAAGAACACATATAAATTGAGTGTATTTGTGACACCAGTTGGTCTTAATGCTGACAAGGGAAGTACTTAATCCATGTAGAACGAGTCAGGCCTTTTCCTGGGCTTCACCTTGTTTTTTCCTTCCATGATTCTTTCTTCAAAAGTCCATATTTGCCATGAATAAAAACCCTGACCCCTCCTTTGACATAGAAGCTGGAAAGAACAGGCTGACTGTTGGGAAAGGTATGGCATGGCAGGCAAGAGAGGAACAAGTGAGGAAAGGGAGAATAACTTTCCTTCCCTCGTTCTGCAGCCTTGCAGAGCAAGACGGTATACCAGTCTTGTCTTAATGAAATCTACACACCACTTCAGGAATTTCTTTGTGTTTTCAAGGACCACTGTTCCAATGCCTATGCCTGATTCTCAAGATCAGACAGCTGTACCTGGTGAAAGTCTTTCTATGGCAGAAAGTCCAAAAAATAGAAAAAAGCAGTAACTGCTTCTCATGGATCCCATAGAAGGCATAGGTGTGGGCAAAAAAGACAAAACAAACCCCTTTTATTTCAGGATTAAACATTTGCTCAAATGGGTTGAGAGAATTTACAAGACTATGTGCAACAGTGCCATCTGATGGGCTTACTCAAAAGGGTAAACAAGGTGACAGTCTGCAGGCCTCACAAGCTACCTTCAGTCCTAAGCAAAATGATGTGACCAGTACTAGATTTTACTGAAAGAAGGTGATGTCCAAGGAATTCTTATTTACATAGCCTTTTCCCATGAGCCTCTGTCAAACTGCTTTTTAAAATAAGGTTATGGGTATCTTTGATAAAGGTTAAAAGGTTAATATAAGTTCCATTGTGGGACACTTTATTTAGTATTGTTGAACATTTTGATTGAGACAGTACAGCAAACGAAACATACAGGCCGAGCTAAATGCAGTGATTATTGGGCAATTGACCCTCGAGTGAAATTTTGAAGCAGGAAGCAATGCAGTGGAGATGAGGGTCCAGAGGTCTCTCAGGAAAAGCTGGTATGTCACAGGCACAGGCTACTACTACCACTACAGAAAAGAAAAGGAAATTCTACGTAATTGATCATCATTTATGTGTTGTTATCTCCTTGACAGTGTAAAACACTGTGGGTTTCATCTTTGCAGAATACATTGCCCTTAAATAGTTGCTAGAAATTTGTAGGACAAAAAGTTAACATAGGGATTTATTTTTTTTTAATCTAATTCATTCTTCTGCAAGACCCCAGTCAAGTGACTTTGTTTTGAAGGTGTGATCATTACCCATTCAGATAAATGTAGAAATGAGGCTTCTGAGTTTCAGTCGTGTCTTCCAAGTGCTTGGTGTAGCAAGACTGCCTCTCCCTAAGCCTCTTCTACCTATAGTGCATGAAATTATTATCATGTCATTTATATTGAAAGGATTGTTCTTCTTACATCCATTCCAAATATGAAAGTGAGCTTTTAATTGATTTACATCTTCATTACTGTATTACAGCATAGGTAAAACAATCGATTTCCCCAGGTCTGAATTCCTGTGAGTCCACAGATTCATTTGCTGCAGAGAAAGAGCAAAAGCCATCCCTGGCCACAGAAATCAGTTCATGGCCCTGTAATATAAACAGTTTTTATCAATGAGCCAGGAGAAAACCTTAAATCATTATTTATACAATCTCTAAATAACACAGATACTGGCAATATGTATAAATACTGGAAATATATATCCATATTGGAACGAGAAGACTTTTAAAAAAGGCCTGAACCATTTTGTTGGTAGGATTCACATCAGTATTATATTGTTCAGCATAGGTAAATGAAAACTTGGGGAAAACATAGTACATCTTCTGGGGAATCACTTTATCTTCAACCAGAAGTCCTCTAAAAATGGATGCTATGATAGATAACTGGTTGAATATTAATTATCTTCTTTTGTGTTTGTTTTCAACTTTCTTTTCTCTTAACTTTTACAGCTAACAATCCTGACATTTTTTCTCCACAAATTGATTAGTCTCCTAAAGTAGAAGCAATGCTGAACCATTATCATGCAAAAATACTTCTTTCCAGAGATGAACAATAATACACAAAATTTGGTTTTAGCTCTTGATTTTCTTTGGAGTTCTAACTCCTGTCTAGGGAATGTTTGTGGAGGAAAGCCCTGTTCAAACATCTGTCTCAGAGGGGGATTAGGTACATAAGATATGAAAGGCCAGGGCAGAAAAATGGTTTGCGTTGAACCAGGAAAGGATTATTTCGTTTATTGCTGTTTGGAAGGAGACAAGGAAATACGGAATGATGGCAGGGTCAGAGGGAGTGGGAATGGTGAGATGTAGGCATCTCACACATAAAGCATCATTGCTGCCTTTGGAAAACTGAAATTAAATATGCAAACACTATGGTTGAGACATCTCATTGTACTTGACATTTCCTGAGTCTGCTCATGTCAGTCCTTGATACTAACAGGAGAACAATCAGTTCTCTGTCAAAAGCTGTTAATAAACCTATGAAGGAAAGCTCACTTCATAGTGGTACCTGGAGATAGTACTGATAGAATATATAGACTCAATAATTTACACATTGGCGCATATTAAATCTATAAGCTATTTTGCAGTAAAAGCACGATGGAAACCCCCAGGTAACCAGCCTTTTCTTTCGTGTATGTATTATGTGTACAGTTTAATTATGCAACGAAAAAGACAAAATCCAGATGTCCTCAGCTGACATAGCAGAAAGTGTGTCTAAGAAACACCCAGCTTTGCTATGAACGGAGCCACAGTGCAGGACACAGAAGTATAACATGATTGTCTGTTTGTAGCTTTATGATCAGAGGAAAGGTAGGAAGCAAATATGCAGCCCCATATCTGTGCTTATATCTACTTTTCTTATTGATCCCAAAATGCTCTGGGAGCCATTCTACAGTGAGCAACTGATATTAAACTGATGTTTACCAGTTAATCTCATGTCTGCTATCTCCTTTGTCAGTAAGTCTAGGCCTGGTTATAGCCTACAAGGTAAGATGAAAATGTGAACTCCAGCCAGTTATGTTGTCAGGGTGGCACTAAACCTGCTACATCAGTAAAACCAGAGGTGGAGGCTCATAAATCTGTGTGTGTATAGCTGCGATGATCTAGCCCCTTCTGGGACTCTGCATGTGGCTTCCAAATAGAGTTCCTGGCAGTTCATCTTTCTCATCTAGAGGTATATCTGCGATAAAGCAGATTTAATGGGGAAGACCTCGCAGTGGAATAACATAAGCTGTGTTTTCTTTCCTCTCACCAAAAGCTAATATGCACTTTCTCTCCTGTCCAAGTCAGATTAGCTTCCCATAACAGCAGTCACCCATGACAGTCTCCAGTATTTTATTTCATGACAAACCAAGCTTTATGAACTTCATGAACTGAGCTTCATGAACCTTGGAGCTGACTGCAAGGGATGCTGAAAAAGCCTCAAGCATTTGCACTTGGAATGGGGCAAAGCTGTGTATTTGGATTCTAGCTTTCTGCCTGCGTGCCTGAGTGTATATGTGATCTAATGCCAGACAAGAAAGTTCATCTATGAATTGCAACACTAATGTAATGTGCAATGCATATGGAAAGGAATAGTTTCATTTATGGAGCATGAAACAGTACTATCTGTAATCCTTTGGTTTTGTTAGCCAAGAGAAAAACAAATTTTGTGATATTTTTGTTTGTGAAGAATCAACATTTTTTTTTAAGTTTCTCAGTAGAAATATTATACCATGTACTTTATTAACACTGATTTTTAAAAACAGTATCAAGTTAGTCCACTGGTTTAAAGAGAATGCATTAGCACATCCTTTTTTTAAGTTGTGTCCTTTTTTTTTTAGCTTTTCTAGTCGTAAGTGCAATGTTTCACTGCATATTTAGCATAAGTTCTACAGTTTCATGGGAGCATTCAAAACACGAATTCTTATGAAGCAGAGGCAGGACTGAAAAATATTAACAAGGTTTCAAATGCATCAGAAGCAGTAAGCATGGCAAAGAGTCTGTGGAGTCAACAGTTTCAGCTGTAAAAGAAGCTTTACAGAAAGATAAAGACCATTAAAGAAAAACTAAATTAAATCTTTACTTAGTG